AGCTGACTTAATGTAAACTTCCCCCTGATGGACTCCTGATATATCAGCAAACTGTGATTGCATGTAGCAAGAAAACCACTGAAAACACCACATGTAGAGAAAAGGCCAGTAAACTTGCAAAATATTACAGCTGACAACATTTTTCAAGTCAACTTCTTTTTTTTGTGTTGATCAAGCAGTGATGTGGGTAACCTGTTACACACACTACAGTCTGGCTTTATCTTCATTTTATTCTTCTCTTTTTTCTCCCTCAAAACATGTTGAAGTTTAAAACTATTTCGTAGCTTTATTAATATGCAAACTAGCTGAACTAGACATTTTAAAGCGGCAACGAGGAACTTTCATTCGTGTTAATTCTGGTGGACCCTGTAGAGAAGCGTTTCCAACACCATTCACACGTTTTGTTAAATGTGGTAGCAGGCATTAAGAATAACTGTACAGAATCTATCTTATCTTCACGCCGATGGTCTCGTAGGTCATATAGAGGCATCGATGTTAAATTCAAACTCTTTCATAGCCGCTTTAAAAAATGTAAAAAGTATATTAAAAATAGAGTTGTTCAGATACCAATGCCAGTATCGAAAATGTGTCTGAAATCTGCCTAAAATGCGCGTCTGTGCACCAATTTTTTTTCTTTATGAACATTGGATTGGTAAAGTTCTGGTATCTGAAAGGAAAAAAACGTTATGGGAAAATTTTTATTTAAAAACTAAGTGGAGACAACAGCCCTTAATGTATGAGTGTACAGAAGAATGAAAAGTAAAAAGAAAAAATAAACTTCACCAAGGGGCTGTTAATAGTTTGGCATGAACTGTCATTTAGTACAAGGCCCCTTTTTTCCATATGCACTATGAACTAAATAATTACAGTCTTATTAGTCTCATACAGTCTAATTACAGTCCGGCTTGGCATGTGCAGAGGTTAGATTCAAAGGTTCCCCCTGGAAATGACTGCCAGTGTGTCGGTTATTGACACGTTTAGCCCGGTTACAGCCTACAGCCGGCATCATCCACACAAAAATGAGAGCCAACGGGTCATTTAGTCAGTGTTGGCGCTCAGTGAACCGCGCTTTGATTCATTACTCTCACTAATACAGACAGAAGACTTTAACATGACTCCAAATTATTCATCTCAAAAGCAGTTACCTTCACTGTCAGTTATGTTGTATTAGGGAACAAAAATGATTAATAAATGGTTCTGAAACCATTATTTTTACTTGTTTTATAAAAGGTACACAGAGTGCTGGAATAAGAGACCGTTTTCTGTCAACTGAATCGAGAATCATTCCTGAATCGAATAGTGGAACCAAGAACCAGAACCAAATCGATTTTTTTTTTTGATTAATAGCTCGGTCAATACAATGCCGGAAAATAATGAAAAATGCCCATTATCACTTCCCACGGATCAAAGTGACATCTTCAAATGTCCATTCACCATCGTGGATGACAAAGAAAGGCATCAAATCCTCACATTTGAGGGGAACAGCAGATATTTGGCATTCCTTAAAAAGTGATCAAGAATGATGGTTGCAGCTCTAAATTGTATTGAATTATTATTAGTCCTCATTAAACATTCTCATTTGCATTATCTGTTAAAAGCCTGGGGTGAAAGTCCCCACAGCGCTCAATCAGCCTGTGTGTACATCACAGGCTGATTGAGTGTACATCACAGCAGATATGTGACCACACTCACTCATAGGCCACACGTTTTTAAACATCACTATAATGCACATAGCTTTGTAGGAGAGTTTGAAATTATAATTCAATTTCTGTTGGTCTTTCAGATTACTTACTGAATGGATGCAAGTGTTCCTAGTGCATTCAATTTTACAGCAATGTACTGTACAGAGCAGTGCTGGGCAGTGTGACCAAACATGTGTATCACAGTATTTTTTAAGATTC